TCCATTCAAATCCAAAAGGTAGACTATTCCACAGACATCGTCAGAATGATGCGACTAACCGCAATAAATCTCCTTATTTAGGAATGCACAATCAATCAATTCACAAATTATCCACGCAACACAAACAATTACGTCATTCCCTAATCACCGAATACCACGCGATTCGGCTAAATAACCAAGAAAGACCACCATCCGAAGCAACCTAAACACATCAAGCTGGAACAGCACCAGACATTTCGCTATTCAAACCTAAAGCAGACTATTCCAGAGCCATCATCGTAGTGGACGAGAAACACCTGCATAATACCTGCAATGCTGACTAGCACCAAAAAAAAAAAAAAAACGAAAGCGCGACAAGGAACAATGATCCGAGTATCGTAGAGGGGAATGAGACGGTCCAAGCACTTGGTGGCAGACTGCTGGTCGAAGCTGAACTCGAGAGCCAAGCTGAGCAACCGAGCTTTCTCTACCTCTTCCAACCCCCGATCCTCCATTGAATCTCTCAACCTCTGTTCGATGCGATTCGATCGATCGATCGATGATGCGCACGTCAGAATGGAATCGAATCGATTGCTAGTCTCTCTCGCGAGAGCGGGCGCGCTCGAAGTACTCTCTTTTGAAAAACTTTGCCAGCGATGGCGGGATTGAATCAAGAAGAACAAATGGGTCGGGTCGGGTCGGGTTTTCATTATACCCGACCCGACCCGAAACAATGAATATGTGTGCTTGGCCCGACCCGAAACAAGACCCGAACATGATATAGCCACACAATCGGGTCGGTTCGGGTCATGTTCGGGTCGGGTCGGGTTCGTGTTTTGGAAAGAGGGAACACCAAATTAGATATATAGACCAAAGCTCTCAAGAATGCTCTATTGGCAATAGCTTTCGTTATGCATAGATATATAGACCAAGACACACGGGAACACGACTCAATCGCCAAATTAGTAGAAGCTAAGTAAGTCGAACAATTTATGCTATTTCACGGATATTTGAACATTATTCGAAGAAAAGGAGTTCCAAGTTGGCACGATGCTGCCCCCTCACCACAATAAATTCAAAGAACGGTGAACAGAGAGCAAAGAAGTACACTGAGCCATCTCTTCACAAGTTCGTCTTCCAATATTCACTCAAAAGCCCAATACCGGCAGCATTGGAGTAGCTCCACTCTAAAGGAATTGCCAGAAGGCATTGCGCCGTTGTTTTTCCCTATGACCTCTTCGTTATGCACAGGAAATCAAACCAGTGACCAAGATTCTAGACATGCAACTCACATTAACTATCATATCATGAATCACTTGAGGCAGAACTGGCCTCTGCAGATTTTTTTTCCCTTTGTTTCTCCCTTTTCTTCTTGTTTCTCAATGCATTCTTGCTCAACATTCTGTTATAAAAAACCAACCAGCATTGTGAATTAGGGGCTGTATTAATCACGTAAAGGACAATGTAACAATGAACGAAACGTGTAAGCATCCAGATGGGTTCCTCATTCTGTTGAACAGAGATCAGTCAAAACATGGTCATCCCACAAACAGATGTTGCCTTAAAATCACACCACAAGGTGGTGCTAGCTTAAGTCCCACTAGCAGAGCGAAGATCAGCTGCTAGAACAACAAGAAGTACACAAAAAATTGAACTGAGAAAACTCTCGATACAATCACACACCTTTTAATTCCATTCATCACGCAACAAAGAGGGAAAAGAGAAAAGCAAATGCCAGCAAGGTAAGAACAGGACTTTCAACAAAGGATGGCACTTCCACTTCCAGTTGAGAAGCCAAACCAAACTCGAGAATTCAACCCACACCAGCACAGGTAAAAGCAATGAAAATAGGGCACGACCCAAGTCGCAGAGAGCCGGAATCACCCACGAATACAAATGCGGGAGACTAGAGCAACCCAACTCACCCGGACCGAAGACCGAACGCCGGTCGAGCGCCTGAACCCAGATGAGGGGAGCCGAAGCCGAGACCAACCCAGAACCGCAAACGATCCGATACAGGGGAGGAGAAGCCGGAGGCGGAGATTTTAACGCAAAATCTCAAGGCACACGTTCGATTCGACTGACCTCTCTCTTCTTCCTTCGCTCCCTTCCTCGCAGATTTACCTTCGTTGAACAGAGAACTTCTGGTCACGAACCCATGAGAATATTTCTGGAACACTGCAGAACCCTACTTCGCCGACTTGGTGATGCCAGCCGCAATCAGGGTGGCGCCGGCGGCGAAGACGCCGATCGTCGCCGCCAGTTGCCTTTGCGTCGCACTACTCGGTTGCAGATCCGGAGCTCTGGAAGAAGATGATAGATCGCGTCGCACTATCACGATAAACAAGGTTTGGGGCAGGCTTGGAGCAAGAAGAACAAATGGCTCTTGTTTGTTTTGGGTGGGCTTGTTTCGGACGGGTTCGGGTAGATCCAAAACAAGCTTAAGCCTTGTTTATACTGTTACCCAAACAAGTTAAGGCCAACCCGACTCAATGCGAAAATTTCTTGTTCGGGTCAGGTCGGTTCGGGTTGGGTCATATTTGAGCGGGTATTTTTGACACCCCTAGGATTGATAGCTTTCCCTTTGCCTTTTTATATGCCGGAGTGAGAGAACGGAAGAGACATTGGAGCAATTTTCCTTTTTTGATTCATTTGACGGTTCCGTTTTCGCTCCTGAAGTTTGTTTGAAGTTCTATTTTGGCCCCCCGAGTAAGTTTTCTTGGTTTCGTTTGGCACCCTTGGGCTTTGCTTAGTGGGGAGAAATAATGAAAAAAAAATTATCCATCAATTGTGCCTCTATTCAACATTTGGAAAAGGACAATAGTCATTTGAAGTTTAAAAAATAATAATTAAATATTACGTATGATTCTACACGTAGATATTTACATAATTTGAAAAATTTTCGATGTTTTCGCATTGAGAAGGCCAGATGAGAATCGCAAAATTCGCAAAAATAATATTGTTGATTGATATGGTTCGATAATTATCCTGCGTGCATGAAGTGAGAACTGCTATATCCAATGAGATCAATAGAGTAATTTAAGAAAACTGGAGATCGCATTGTTAGCAAAAAAATTCTTAAAAAAAGGTTATTGGTTTTTTTGTTTTTTGGAAAATAAGATTGTTGGGTTGAAATAGATAGGAATATGTGTAAAGGCTCCTCTGCATACATAAGACTTGCGTGAATATATAGATCTACGAGAAGTAGCTCAATTTTCTTTTATCTGTTGCTATAGCAAAAGAAAATATTGACAAAGTAACACTTTTTATTAATTTACATTTTTTACCTATATATATATATATACATTTTTACATTTTCATTGATAAAGTAACACAATGGAATGAACTTCAATTTTTTTTAAAAAAAAATAGTGTCTCCAACACTACTTTAATATTTGGCCAAAAATAAATAAATAAAACTCCTTTATTGTGCCGAAAACTTCATAATAGTAACGGGAATTCCATAAGTCAAAGTTATCTTTTACGGGACTGGTCCAATATTCAACGTGGACCGTCGGATTAAAAGGGGAAAAGACATGGTCCATCAAATTTGTTTTGCAAAACCGATTTTTGTCATAACTTTTGGACGTTAAAGAAAAGTTACGGACGCAAAACTGATCAACTTTACGGATTGAGAAAAATTGTGATGTGCAAGGAAAATTACTAACATGTAGGTCTCAAACCTTTACAAAGTGTAAAAAAAAAATTACGATCAATTAAATATTTTACTAAACATACACAAAAGAAATTTACTATTAACTGAATAAGTTACTATATTTATGGAATATTATGAACCACAGGTTGTAGAAAATTTACGACCTCCAAAGAAAATTTAAACCCTCTTAAAAAAGTCATGTAAGGATAAATTATAAATAAATTACTATTAGCGGGATAATTATGTGCCAAAAGAAAGTTAAGATTCATTAGGTAATTTACTAACAATAGAAAAAAGATATTCATTAGGTAGATTACTATTTTTTGTGAAATTTTACAAATCATAGGATTCAGGGAATATGACAACAAAGGGGAAATTACATCCTATGAAAAAAAATTATAAAATGATATGTAACCGATAAATTACTATTAGAGAGGAAAATTACTAATAAAGAAAATCATGAACAATTGGACGGACTCGGTATGTTTTCCCTTCTCACCTGGTCGTCATTGATCGTTCGACTGCCTCTCGCAGACCTTTAGGTTGTTTTAAGTTGCGAAGAATATGGAGGAAGTTGTTCTAATCAAAATTGTATGTCTTAACTTTCTTTCTTTCTTTGCCTTCTTCTCTCTGTACAGTCGTGGTGTATGCTTAGCATTTGTGATTCTTCGCATGAAGTAACTGCTGGATTATCAACTTATGTGATTTTATTGCCAAATTAGCTGCTCCCTGCATAACAGCCAATTCTGGGGGGCCCTTATGTTTTAGGGTATCGATTCTTGAGAAATCCGTTCCTTTTCACTTAGAAGAGGTTGGGCTTGGTTCTAGCTATGTGAGGATCGAGTCAACTTGAGCCTGAGTATTTCAACTTTTGCTATCGAACTACTTTTGCTATCGAGCTGAGCTCGAGTAGAGAAAGCGAAACTTCATCGGGTTTCGTTTTTTGAAGTTGTGCACTTTACTCTGAGCGTGTGGTGTCGATCTTTTCAAGTTAATGCATATGTCCAGTTCATATATTAATCCATCTTTTTGTGCTACAGGAAGGCATTTCATTTTTCTCTTTGCTATTAAACTTTCCATGGATAAAGGCAAGAGCCAGAGCAACGCATATAACGGAAAGCATCAGTTCATTTTGGGGTGTTCTTTCGTGGTGCTTGTTGCACCAATTGTTTTTTGGGTGTTCGCTTATATCTTCTAAAGAAGAGGAAAAAGAGTGGAAGATACACATATGCAGAAAATAAGAGCAATGACGAAGCGTCTACATCTACATTCATCTCTCCAACACCAACAAGAGTGGGAAGTGATCGCTATGATGTATTTTTGAGCTTTAGAGGCTACAACAATACATAAATGAGGAACGGTACCAATGTTTGTGTTCAGGGATGATAATAGCCTCCATGTCGGTGAAGGGTTTGGTTCACGGCTCCTTGATGCAATCACATGGGCTGATATTTTGATGCCTATCATCTCTGAAAATTGTGCTTCAATTGAGGTGGGTGGTTTTAAATGGAGACTTACGAACTGTTTTTTGAATTAAGATGGCTTCAATGGTTTGACATTAAACCCAATCTGTCTTTTTCAGCAACTAATTTGCATCTACCGAAATTAGTCATGCTGCAATTGTCATGCCACCAGGTAACAAAGCATTGGAGAGGATGGAGTTCAATTGGTAAGATGGAAAAAAGACATCCTCTGCGATATTTTTTTTCTTGTTTTTGTTTTGTTCGAAACAGAAGCTTTTCCATTTCTTAAGTAGCACAAGATGAACAAGCAACATGGGCTTCTAATACTAAGAGGTCCCGTAAAGCTAAAAGAGGGTTATAAACCCAATAACAAGGGAGATGCTTAGATCTTTGGGCTTTCACTACCCAATCCACAACTTGGTTAGCCTCTCTTGACAGCTTTCCTTCTCTGTATAGGTGGCAAAGCAGCTAAAAGTTCTCAACTTTGCATTTTGCCATTATGCAAAATGTAGTCAGGATTTCTCAGCTATCACAGAGTTGGAGATTCTCAGCTTGAAAAAATATCATGGGCTAATGCAAGTCCACCCTTCTATTGGAAAAGTCAAGAACCTCGTTTCCTTGGGCTTGAGTTCCTGTGTTAGTCTCAAGGAGCTACCAGGAGAAGTGGGCGAATTAGAAGAACTAAAAGAACTTATTTTAGATTTTGCTAGTATTACAAAGATTCTCATTCAACTGATTCTCTAAGGAAGCTGGAGAAACTTAGTGCCAGGGGGTGTTGGTCATTGAGAGAAATTTATAGCTCAATTGGGGATTTACAAAACTCGTAACATCTGAACATTAGTCATTCTAAGAATGAAAAGTTACTTATTGCTATTGTAGGGTTGTAAGAATTGCAAACACCAAGTCTTGGATTCTGCTATAGACTGAAAGAGGAAGTTCCAAGTGAGATGGTGACTTGTCTTCGCTTGAGATTCTCCAATTTATTAGTGCACCAATATTTGACCTGCCAGAAAGCAAAATCGAAATCTTTCTTCTCTCCAACACCTTAGCCTATGGCTTATATGATCTCCGATCGCTGCCAAAGCTTCCTTCCGGCTTAACATATTTGACAGTCTTTTGTTAGAGTCCTAGGTTGTCACAACTTTCTTACCTAATCTATCTAGAAGAACTTGATCTTTATGAATGCTATCTACTTGAACAGACCCTAGAGCTTTCCTCAAGACCCTTTGAAACTTTGGGTTGCCTCCTGTCGTAAGCTGATATTGCCTTAGCTAGACTAATTGAAGTACTTGGAAGAGTTTTCAATGGAACACTACAGTTATGTTAAAAAAAGAGGACATTTCCCATCTGAAACAATTACACTTGTATTACTATAATCTAGTTAAAATTCAGGGCCATGATAGTTTTCAAGTTCTAGGAGGATGTTAAGATGCACATGTGTAATTGAAAATTACACATGTAGTTGAGCTTCCCTCAAGACCCTTGAAACTTTGTGTTGCCTCATGTCGTAAGCTGATATTGCCTTAGCTAGACTGATTGAAGTACTTGGAAGAGTTTTCAATGGAACACTACAGTTATATTAAAAAAAAGGACATTTCCCATATGAAACAATTACACTTGTATATCTATAATCTTGTTAAAATTCAAGGCCATGATAATTTTCAAGTTCTAGGAGGATGTTAAGATGCACATGTAGTTGTATTAGAAAAGTCACACATTGAAGAATTGGTATGGTGTGGAGTAGTTAATGCATCATAGCTGACTCATAACACATTGGCTTAGTCTTTTAATTTAAAATGAGTTTAATTGGATATATTGACGGACTCAAACTTGGGCTCTCTCTTGGCAATCTCCTTAGATGAATGTCTCGGATTTCTGTCGCGCCTCTCCACCAAAGGAAATAGCTATATATTGCAGCAAGTCCATTGAAAGGCTAACTATTGTAACAATCTAGTCGAAATTCAAGGTCTTGATAGGGTGGAGTTCTTAGAGGCGTTGGATGTCTCTTATAATGGGTCCATTGAGCGATTACCGACCTATCACGCTTTGCAACATTAAATCTGTTCGACAATAATTTTTAATTTGTCTAATCAAATTCTTTGACTTTCATAAATTTTTAACCAAGTCCTTTCGACAATAAATCTGACACAATTCAACTGACGTGACCGTTGGAGTGTAACATGGATAAAAGTTTTCCAACATGGATGTCCACGTGGGCATCCACGTTGTTAATCCACATCATATATCAACATCGTTCACATTGACTAAATTTTTCCAGGGTGTTGTTCATGTGGGCATCCACATTGGCTAATTGTTATCCACATTGTCCTTTGATGTCGTCCCAACTTGCCACGTTAACTAGATTTGGGCAGATTTATATTCGCACAGATTTTATCAAAAAAATTGTGAAGGTAGAAGGACTTAATTAAAAATATTAAAAGCGCAGGAATTTGATTAGAAAAAACATGAAAGAAGAATTTTTCCTTTTATAAATTGTATAGATTTACAGATTCCATCTCCGTAGTTTTGGGATTTTCATCTTCCATTTAGCTGCTTATGATCTTGTGCTAGGGTACAAGTATAATGCTTACTCCGCCCAGAAGCTTTCTTGTTCTGCCCAGATTTAGTGATTTTAGGGGGCTTCCTCGCCATTTAGAAATCTTTGACTAGTTTTTTATGCGTCAAATTGACTAATAGCAGAAATCATTATTGAAACAATCACATACCGATTTTTTGATATGATAATTCAAGCTCTTGTTCTACACCAAGGTGGATTTGTTCCATTGATACTCTGTCTTGGACCTTGGAATGCGAGAATAAACTTGCAAACCACATGAAAAACTGAGAATTTATTGAGACTGAAATCCAAAGATTTGAATTAGCAGTCAAGCAATCGAGTCCTTCCATTTCTATACCTAATGTCAGTTGAATCGGCGAACAAGAAGGATGATCCCTTCTTCAATGAAATAGTAGTAGCCATAAAGGCGAAATTCCTCAAATATTACAACAACATCCCGTCTTGGTCTTGGATCCGAGGTTCAAGTTGGAGGGGCTCGAAACGCTTCTTGTTCCATAGTACAAATATTCGGGACTGAGTTGGGAGTTCCAAGTGAAATACGTACTAGCAATAACGGTGAGTTGGCTCTCAAATACGTATGTGGCAAATGCCGGTCGATATAATACAACAAGTTTCATCCCATGGACAAAGAACATGGCCTCATTGAGTAGTGCCCACAATCTATATGGTCTATGCTTCATAAGGAGAAAAACACCCCACAGCACGCTAAGTCTTCATCTTCATCATCTACCAATGAGTTGGAGATGTACTTGGGAATAGACTACTCCAAGCAAATTGATAGAGTTGGCTAAAATAACCTCGAGGACTTGAAATGGTGGAAGAGGCGAGCCACCACTTTCCGATTCTTTCTATTATGGCTTGTGACTTACTCATTCCACTGGTGTATACAGTACCTTCAAAGTCTATGTTCATTATTAGCCAACTTTTGGAAGTCAAATAGATCCAACTTGTTTGCATAAAATTTAGAAATGGTTACCATGTAGGGTAATTAGTTTCTACAAGAATTAACTCCAGAGGAATGTACCCAACATGGACACAAGAACAACAATGACACTGTATTATCTGAATCATGGTGAGGAACATGAATGTTTGAGTGGAACCATTAATTAGAGCACCGCTAAGTGTAATTTTTTTTCAAATTATTTGAAGATATACCAGTGTTTTAGTTTGGTTTAACAAAATGTGTGTTTGTATTAATTTTCCTCAATTAATCTCTCATTATTTCTAATATTTGAACAAAAAATTATTTTTTATTGAAATTATATTTTTTTTAAACTAGGCCCGGACCAACAATGCCCAAGTCATGTCATCCCTGGCATGCCCCGATGCCCAATCTCAGTCATGCATCGTCACGTGACAAGGCCCCAGATACTATATTGGCTGTGGTTAAGCCTCATAAATCACATCGGCTGTGATTAAGCCCCAAACAAGAATCGTCGGTGAACATATATCATATCTCAATATATAGTTTGACCATGAGTTAAGAATCGTCGGTGAACATATATCATATCTCAATATATAGTTTGACCATGAGTGCTAATCCAATGTCAATATATCATAATCCAACATGCGGATATGCGATATATTAAAAATAATTCACCAATCTAAACATTTTCGATGCATGTTTAAAATAACAATCAACTTGGAAATCCATTCAACGCTTGATCCAATTTTATAGAATAAGATGCCACGAGGTGGTTTAATTTTTCCCTTAATTCTCAAAGTGCGGGGGCCAAGGAAATATATGGTTGGCCCATGTGGATTATTTAGCGCTTAAACAAGGTAAGTCCCTCTTACCCTTCCCTCAATCCAAACACCTATTGGACGTGAATCAAATTATTACTTCTTTAAAGACTGTTGACCATGAAGACACCTATTTTTTTACCAAGTTTCGACTAGATTTTGATAAAAAGTTAACCCTGCAAAGATTATGATTGATAGGTATATTTGGGTTGTGCATTGTAAGAGCTTTCCAACGTCGCCTAATTTGCCCAAATCGGATGACCGGATTGCTGGATATGCTGCCGTAGGGGAATGCTTGATCCTTTGGATGTTTACTTTGTTCGATTTCCCCAATAGTGGTCCTAAAAGAAGTGATCTGCAATTACCATTCAAAGTTAGCTTGAAGATGCAAAACTTGGTGATCTGATTTTGAAGGCAACGAAGCCTTAAATGGTTATGCTCAACACATATGATGATTGACTGAAGAGTATATCATTGTACACTGCTTTCTCTAGTTTCAACATAATTCTCCAAACTCTTCATTTAAACAATGAGAAGGCTGAAATGTTAGTACTGCCTAATGTGACAGCCGTCGTTGATTCTCATGACATTTGGCTGTCTTTCACATATGATTAGTGGCTGAAAGTTGTGATCCTTTAAATGGCTTCGTCAGCTTGCAACTCTCCAATGCCAAATGAAACCGCTGTTTTTACATGTTAAAAGATGACGTATGACTGCAGTTATTTTGTATTGAAGACAATCTTTCGCCTCTTCCTGTAAATGGCACGCACATTGTTTCCAGGATGGTATATGCTTGTAAATAATAGACGGTTTCGTATGATTTTCTTCTGGATTTCTTTCCTGCATTTGCTGTTGACCTTGCAATCTTTTGGCTGGTGAATGTAAACAACCTTCTTTGTTTCTCTTCATGCGTTGATCCTTTGCTTTTGTTTATTGCGCAGCAGAACCCAAGATTTATAACCTTGTTTCGAAGTCTTAAATTTGGTGGTACTAAGATGGTGGGTGTGAATGAATTTATTCCTTTTTGTTCTTTACCATTTTGTGCCATTTTGTTCTTTACTATTGCTCTGGAATACGCTTAGAGAGCACCAAGTTCCCTTTAATTCCTGTGGTTTCTATCCAATAAAAGCCGGCTAAATCAGATTTTTCCAGATCAGTCTAAAGGCCCATTATTTGTTAAGCCAGATAATGACAAGTTTAACCCTAAGAAGAAGGCAAAAATCTTGCTAGTTTTTCATGGGACTCCTTTTAATAGCACTCTCGTAATACGGAGGAATTATTCCGTAAATTTAATAAATGTGCTAAATTGAATCTAGACCCACAAAAATGATGGATCTAATGTAAATCTCAAAAAAAAAAAAAAACTCACGATCAGCATAAGCAGAGCAAGCAGGGGAGAAGAAAATGGATTTTATGAATTCGA